ATTTCAGATACACGCAAACCAGTCACGAACTTTGCGCCCACAGTACAGTTCCGGAAGACACTGACTCAGAACCTGCTGACTCACAAGTGCCCAAACAGTTGAATACTTGTATACTTGGGAAGGGGCTAAAATAATTCCTTCCGGAGACTGATGAGCAGTGGGAAATATGACGATACGCGTGGCTTGTTTTCAAAACATCCACTAAGACCTATTTGTAATTGAGCGCGACTATCAAACGAAAAAATAAAGACGGCAATCTTCGAAGGTCAGAAGGTAAAAAAAAATCACGAAATCTTAATTTTGTTGATATCTCATGAAAGTGGCGTTGATGAACTGAACAAATATTTTATTTTTAAATAGATTTTAAGCGAACTGATTATTCATATTGTGACAGTTCAATATTCAGCTCCTCAATATAATCATCTGTGATAATTCGTATTTTCTCTAATATAAATATAATCCCATTTATATATCGCCCTACATTGCCTAATTATTACTTCTTTTATTTATTATTCAATTTAATGGAGTGGCTTGGTCTAAATTTTTTAACAAGGTTTTGGACGTTTGCATACTTACATTATCTCAGGGTATTTTCGTCTTTCTTCTCGTAGGCTAGAAAACACCGCTCTTACGAGTATTCGGATGGTGATAATTTAAATTTGTTAGGAAATATTCTGTTATTTACTCCTTTGAATAATCTTAATCAAAATCAAACACCTTGTAATTTGTTATTAAATGATCAGCGACATGACGTGTCGGCTACAGAATAAATCTTTATTTAAAAATTATTTTTGTTTTTAAATTTGACAATATCTCCCTGTATTTTCCCCAATGTTACCTGTTTTGATGGCCATCGAATATCTATTTAGAAAAATGATAATTATTTTTCTAGCTTAATTTTATACCTTATCTCATCTTCGCCTTGCTAATTTGTTTATAAAGTCTTTCTGCAACTTATCGCCAAATCTTTCCTTTGCAAAGATATTTCAGCAATCTTAGCGTTTTGATGACATCAGTGACTATTTCCATAATTTTGTACTGAAACTCTTCATATTGCAACTCTAAATTTACTTAATACATTTTACTATGATTTGCGATTTACATTTTTCACGAATGTTATTCTTTTCTCGCTAATCAGTTTTAGCTCATTTATTCCCCTATTCTATAATAATGGTGGACCACATGTCCATTTTTTATCTCTCGCAAACTAAAAACAATTTTTTTTACATAACGCCCTGACGGCAATAGATTCTCACGCTACCAAATCCAATATATTTCCTCTAAAGTGTTCTACGATATATGTTAAAAAGTTCACTTGTTTGAATGTTATTCTTCGAATCGATGTGCTCTTGTTGCCCCCGCAACCATGCATCTAGGCGTCTCTTGTCTTATATCAACAATGTCCCGTTTTTAATACGCTTTGTTTTCGAATTTTTGAAAAATTGTCTAAACTTTACTTAATCAAAATAATATTTTCATTTTCTGATGCCTTGCATTCTTGAAGACTCATTTTAATTTGTATCTTTACGTAATTCCTCATATTTTACCTGTTATGTGGCATTGATGTTTTGCTTTTCGAATACAAAATTCCCGTAAGGAATTTTGCATTACCTCAATATCTTAAAATTTCAATGTATTTGCATTAATAGCGAAATAAGGTATGATATGGTATATATATATATATATATATATATATATATATATATAATATAGATATGTGATATATATTAATATAAATATATCTACATTATATTTATAAAACGTATACTGATATGACGCGTTTATAGCGATATTCGTAATATACGTATAAAATTGAATATGTTGCACACCTTACCTTCCTGGAGGTAATAATCGTGTTCCCTAGTGTGTTTTCCGCGCCGAGACTCGAACTCAGGTCCTGAGAGTTAACCCACCGTCACCCATGCTTCTAATCTACAGAAGATGCGTTAAGTACTAACTTGGGCCGACGCTTAAAAATGTAATTGCCTCAACCCAACATGTTTTCAACACAAATTTTTTGCAATTTTCTCAAATATGGAGAGTTTGTGAAAATGGGACTAGATCCATTTTTTAAAATTCTTCGTTCTTATGAAAATAATGCGTCAAAAGAGAACATTATTATTACTCGTACTTTTTCGCTCTTAAGAACTATACGAAACATATGAAGGTTCTCGGTATTGCGTCGACTCAAAACATATATGCGTTCAACTATGATGCAAGATCAGCTCAACAGTATTGCAATTTTATATGTTTTTAGCGACATGACCGACAAAATCGATTTGCAAAAATTAAAGGAGTGTATAACAAAAATGCAAAGTGCAGCTTGCTTTTGCGTTGCAAAACTGAATTGCTGATGTTTCCGAAAATAAATGTGATGGCAAATAAATGTAACATTTTGATGACCCTTTACTGATAAACTTGACAATTTGTAAGAAACTTCTGTTTTGAATTTTTCCCTTCATGTAAATTTTTGTTGGGAGATGGAGGGGAAGGGGGACCCCCACCCGGGCCAACTACTCACTTGGACTTAACTCACCAATCGCCGGCCTCGCTAGACTCTGTATATTACTCCGTTCATACGTACGTGTAAGAAAGGATGAACAGCAAAACAGCATGCTGCATATGAATCATTTATTATCTACAACTGCGAATCAGTGTAGGAACTAAATTAATCAGTTTTATCTGAAACATTCGTCTCGCCCCTAAGGTTTTCAAAATAAATTATTTTCCTGGCTTTTCTGTTAGGAAATAATAATTATACTCGTATTTACGTCTTATAACTTCAAATAATAATAATACTAGATTGACCTTGAATAAGTGATTGTTATTTTCCTATAATATTAATAATTGTGGGATAATAATGTTGCATTGAAATACTGATACATAAAAGTTCGCTCTCTTAGCAGTAAGCAGAGTTTTTTATTAATTAAGGTTTATTTCTTCTGCAAGTAAAACGACAGTACATACTTCGTTCGAATCATTTATTTAAGAATTGCATTGCTAGTACATCTCTAAAATTGAAGTTTTAGTATTAACGTGTTGATGTTTTCTTTAGCAGTTAAAATACTTAATGAAATATTACATGCTGTCGATATATTTTTAAATATTGCTAAACAGCTTTTTAGATATTGTAAATTTACTATTATTATTATTATTATTATTATTATTATTATTATTATTATTACCATTCAATATGTATGTATCAAGAATTAACAGTTTTTAAAATAATACGTCTCTGACAATATTGATGATCAAATATCGCATTTTTGACACTTGGATTTACGAACACTTATGGAAGATCATATAAATGGCCAGTTCTCTGCAGCAGCAAACCACGCATGTTGCAGAATGGAACAGACTTTCTTGTCCTAATAGTTTCCTAATCTTATTTGTCTGGGTTAACTTTTCCTTTATGTCCCAACCTGTTCACAGCTGCTTCTAAAAGATATATTTTTCACAGTTTCTCAGTTTTTTGGTTCCCTCATAGTACACTAGATGTATGCGTTTAAGAATATTTCAGAATAGTAAATAGTGGATATACATGCACATTATCATTAAAAATTTTAGGGAAAACACACTTGCCCTTACAAGCACTACAGTACCACATGTTCCGGGAGACGCGCGGTCGCGAGCTTAGAGCTTGTCCCGGCTGGGGCGGTGCCCCGCTGGTGGGAGATTCCTGGCCGGGGAAAAGCCCACTAGACGACGGTAGGTCGGCGCCAGATCTCACCATCCAGCGGAGGAAGTCCAATGCCACCCCCGAGTAGAAGACATGCACTACATTTACGGGACTAATGACCTTAGTTGTTGATGTGCCCGGAATCACTACTCGGTCAGTCAATCAAAAGCAAGTGATAAAACGTCTGGAGCCCACTATCTTTCATTGAGAGCAAAAATCACGATATTTGATTGAGCGGAGAGTTCAAATAATTTTTACATATCGTACTTAACCAACTCACCCCCAATAAAATTCTAAACAAATTAGGACTAATAATCAGAAACATCGTATATAGTACAAATATTTATTTTATTATTATATTTATATTTATGATTTCTCTTTCTTCTTTAAATGGAGTGTTTTGGTGAGTGGTTCAGTTTATATTTTTTGATAGCTTTTTTATGTTATATATTAATTTAACTGGAAATATTGATAAATAAAATATCTTAATATATAATTATATAATTTATAATATAATTAATATAATATATTGATAATAAAAATATCTTATGGACTAATTTATAAAATGTTCTTACACGAATGTCCACTTTAAACTTAACGCAACTATTATTGTATGTCTTGTATTTTCATTATTAAACAAACTGAAACTAAATGTGTGTTTTAATATATTTTCACGTAGCACTGCGTTATATTTCAGTGCGAGAAGTTCGTTAACACTAACACATTGAGTTTGTGTTGCTTTCTTATCGCAAAAAACACAAAAAAAATGTGTTTTAAAAATTACAAACATTAACGTAGCAAAATATCCAACGAGAAAATAGATATTTTTATACAATCCGTTGAAAATATAGTTATTCACGTTCGTACTAACGAATTGTCAAAGATTTTGGTTTTCACATTTTTCAAGACCCAGCTTGAATAACGGTCCATTTTTCTACTTCAAACTGAGATAATTCAGACAATTCACAGCAGCTGGTTCCTCCGCTTTCTTGTGTTCGACTAATTTTTATTGCACATCCTGTAACATTTTAAACGTTGACTCGCTTTGACAGTTTTTTTTTTATTTCCTGAAATATAAAATCATGTGTTACATATGTAAACGTCTGTTAATCAATTATATTAAAAATGTGCATTTTATTAGCGAAACAGGATATCTCCATTCAATAAATCCTCGCGAGAGAGAGGTTATTGACCGGAGCTAAATGAAGCACAAAATGCACCGCGTGTGTCGGTGGCGGCGTCGGGCGCCTGCAAAGCGACTCTCGCGGGGGCGGAAGGGGCGTTCAAACGTCGCGGGACACGTCTTTTGTTCGCGAGGCGGATGCGCAACTTGAGCGAGTTAGCGCTCGCAACAGCAGCTGCCGTCACTGTTGCCCCCACTATCTTCGCCATCCCCTCTTTGAGCGCTGTAACGTCACCGCCGTCACCCCCCGGCCGCCCCCGCCCCCACTCCCGCCGCCGGCGCCTTCGCCATCACCGCTGCCGGTGTCATCGGCCTGCTATTATTGCTGTTACCCCATTGCCTTCGCAGCCGCACCCCCACCCACGACCCCCTGAGGCGACCCTCCTGGGCATTGGTTGCGATGGGCGAAGCCGTACACCCGCTCGCCGCCGTCTTCCTCCCGCCCTGTCAACGCCCCCGCCGCCAGTCCAGTCCGCTCCGCTCCGCGGGACTATCAGCGGCCGCTCCTCTGGACAGATAAACCGGCGCTCCGGAGACGCGGCCGCGGCGCCCCCCAGTCAGTCACAGTCAGTCAGCCGGCAGCCGCAGGAGCAGCCGCTACCTACGCCGCTGCTCAAAGCCGTCCCTGCCGCCGCCGCCGCCGTCGTTGCCATGGCCTACGACGACGTGCTGACCCACTTGGGCGACTTCGGTCGCTACCAGCGCCGAATCTACCTGCTGCTGTGCCTGCCGGCCGTGACCTGTGCGCTGCATAAGATGTCTGGAGTGTTTCTCCAGGGGAGAGTCGAGCACAGGTACGCGCCTCTCCAACTAAGTCAGGGACGCTCTTGGGTTTCTGTCCGCGCCGCAAAATTTCGCGTTGCGCACTTCCATGAAATAATGCCCTTTCTCTTTCTAAACGTGCCTGGAAACAAGTACCATTTGACGTGTGAAAAGCCAGCAAACTGTCGGTGCATGTTAACTCTCTCCTGTTCATTTGCAGTATCCGATCGCCTCTCGCATTCGGTTTTATCCTCGTACAAAACACCTGTCGATAATACGCTCATTACCACACTCGCAGATACGACCCACGAGAGCATGCCCTACTCGCATGTCCTACTCAGTGAAGCGAAAATTTCCGCAGCTGCGCCTTGTTGAAGTAGCGCAGTGGGCGGGCGCGTCTTCCTCCGTGGCCGGGGGCGCCTCCGCGGCCGCCGCCTTCGCCGCCCCGACGGGCGCCGCGGGCGTGCCGGAAAGCGACGGAGCTATTTGGGTAGCCCCGCCCCGAAATACGCGCGAACGCACACACGGGCGCGAAGGCGCGTCGCCTGGACGGCGGCCGGCGCCACGTGGCTGCGCCGCCGCGTGGGGGACTGAATAGGCGGCACGCGCGAGGCTCGAGCCCGGCCGGCCGCGTGGACGGCGTGGATGGCGCCACGCGCCCTGGCCGCGCGCCCGCCGCCCCCCCCCCCACCTGCGCGCCGCGCCGCGTCTGCCGCTTGCGTGGCGAACGCGTGCGCGCCGCGACACGCCGCGCCGCGCCGCCTGCGGCCAGCAGTGAATACCGGCGATCCAGCTGATCTGTAGTACGCGCCGAGCCACTTTCTCTTGTTCTTGCTTTCTGCTCTCTTTCTTAACTACTTTCCTGGTCTTCATTCGACTCGCAATATTCCTTAGCCTCCTCTTTTCTAATGTTTTAGGCGTTGCACTCCAGGTCTCACTTGCGGTTGACTATGTTCTGGAACTCGTAGTTTCTTTTTCCCCAGTAGCAAAACCTATGATTTCTGAATTTTGAATAGTTTTTGTGACACAATCTCTTCTTGTATATTTTCTGTTCGTTTGTTATTTTTGCTTTGTTTACAACCTTCCATGTCAGAGAAACGTTTACGTCAGAAAGCAGAAGTTTCTGCGAATTTTCTATCCATCACTAAAACTTATTTCTTCCAATCGCGCTGAACTCTTTAACATTTCACAGAGTTGTTCGGAAAGCGGAGCCACATATACCTTTACCGGAAGTTTGTATTTTCTGAAACCTGGGTAATCCTAAAAGACGCAGGTATGATTGCGACTCTAAAAGCTTCAGATAGCGAATAAAATGTAAAAATGTCTTATATAATGAAATAGCGAATTTTATCAATGTTGAACATAAATAACTTGTATTTTTATCAACTGCTTTAGGAGATACGCCATTTATTAGGGATTGACCTGGAGACAAAAACACTCAAAACAACAGGAAATGATGGATACGGATAAACAGGATATACTATGTAAAATAAGATCCAAATATTATTGTTCACTACTAGACGTGTTATCTTCGTAAATAGATGAAAATACGACTTTCAAAACCATTTTACTAAGTGTAGATATTGAAATTATTCAACTGTGTTCGCGAAAGGGATCTACACATCTGTGAAAACTTAATTGTTTCCTTGAAGAAAAAGTGTTGAGAACGTCGCCTTCCTTGAAATCCCGCTAGGGACTTCCCGAGCTGATGAGAGTACAAGTTGGTGCAGAAGACTTCCTGGTAGCAGAACCATAATTGTCGATGTATAGCAAACGATAACTAAATATTAGCGCACGTGTGTGTGGGTGTGCGCATAAACGCGCTTGCACGTGTGTACGTGCGTATGTATTACGTGCGTGCAGTCTTCTGTTTGTGTTTATAAGCCAGAGAGGAAAGAAGGGAAATCGCAAAATTGCTTCTCACTAAACATGTCCGTAGAAATGCTTACAACTACTGACTAAAATCTATCCAATATCTAAAAATTAGAATTAGAATTTAAATAATTAATATTACAAGAGTGGAAATATTTGAGTGACATGGAGGAGTATAGTTTACATTCTGGGAGTAAAATAAAAATGGTGGTGTATTACGTTTTTACGAATCATCTTTTAAAAATATAATATCTATTGCTAATGAACAGCGTTGTCATCAGTGGAATCAATATTCTCCAGCATTTCTCTCTCTGAGTGCAATGCACTCTACCTGAATAATTTGTTAATTGCTTTCTGATCATGCACATCTAATGTATTGACATTGTATAAGAGTATTCGTATTCGGGGAAAATAGAACTGTAAACAGATATCACCCAAGTAAAGGAACTGAGAACCTATGCCTAAACAATTCCGTCTTGATGCATCTACAGGCTCGTCGGTGTGAAAAATATATTTCCCTTTCAAATAATTATTGTACCACTTTAAATTAATTTATATTATATTGGTATAATTGTTTCATAATGGACCTGATATAATGTTTACTATCATAACACTGCGGATCTATTACCAATCCGGCGGAACTAATAAAATATTTCGACACATAAAATAAGTGCTTCCTAGTGTGACATGCTTATATACAGTCTGAATTACGAAAAAAAAGATGGATACTAAATGTGATTCGATTTCTATTAAAAGTAATACTTAGTTTCCTTTCGGTGTATGTGGTATTTGTAGTAATTTACATTACGAGGCAAGAGAGTGGATTTTTCCGTGACTACACGGAAGAGTTCCCTCGATGAGGCCGGTAAGCCGAGAGTGGGAATCCCGTCATGTCATGGAAAGGTTTTTCTGCCGTGTAATATTATTTAATTCGCGACCTTATTTTACAATAAACTTTCCATGTGATATACATTTCATTAACCATCATTATCACTTGAATTTTTTTTTCGCGGAGTTGCGAATAGTACTTTTCCAGACATATCTATTGGCATCTACCGAAAGTACTTTCATCACTTAAATCAAAAGTAATTTCCCATGCTGGGAATGAAAGAAAGTGATTTCCGTACATCAAGATTATGGTACTCACTCTCTGGGTGGTCTCTGATAAATGATTCATGTTGTGTTGTTTTATTAAATTATGCATTATTAAACGCCCATTTAATTAACAATAGCTCATTAGCAATGTATAATTACTTCTTGTCGGTCATTCCTTTTATTCTCTTTATGGTACGAGTTGAATACGTTATTCAATCATGCAAAAATGTTCTCATGTTGGTCATTTTTATTGCTCATGATTACTCTCTGCTGATGTGGAATACAATAACTAAAATAAAGAATTATTTTCTACACCAAAAAATTTTCTACGCCGAAATGCAGGTCCAAATTTTGAGTTGAAACTGAACTGAAACTGAACTTCTAACTACGTAGGAAAATACCGTAATAGTTCGTTTTTTTCGTCCTCCACTATGTGAAAACTAACAACAATATATCAAGCAAATATATTCAATAAATTGTTTTGAAATTATATTCGGTGAAGTTAGTCGTATCAATTTGTTCATTCAATGTGATTTTCACTTCCACGTTGCAAATGTGGCAGATTTGTGCGTTTTTCTGAGAAACAAATCAACAGTTTTCCCCAATGCCGATCCCTAATTTTCAGCTTACACGATCTCATATAGAGCAACCAAGACGAGCCTTGATTGCATATAATTTCATAGTTTTCGAATGAAAACACCGTATTCCTCATGCAGGGAGCATGTTATTACAAATGACTCCAGTGCTTGTTGTCGCAGTTAAGTTACGAGAGTAGACCATTATGTAACAATTTATTGAAAATAAGTCAATGAAAAGTATCTAGCAGTTAAATCAACTAACTACATATGAGACGATATTTGAACTGTGGTACAATTAATTACATATAGAGATAACAAATCTATGTTACAAATAGATCAGCTCCTAAAATGAACAGAAAGGCTTTCAACATAGGGCGTCTTTAGAAAAGTTATCGGTTGAAATAATTTACCACTTTCCTCTTTTGACGTAAAGAGAATAAACCAACGCAGGTCCAGCTGAAATATTTATCGATTCATTTTACGTACGAGTATGTTTTCTGATTAATTTTTAGTTCATTCAACTTTATGTAATATTTTTTAATACAAAATACCATTCCAAAACTCAAAAATATAGAAAACTCTAATTTATATGTCAGGAACGTATAAATTAGGAGCGATCGTCAACCCCCTTTAATATTTACACATCTTTTCGCATTCGTTAACTAATAAATTCAAACATTTCATTGCACGTATATGATGTTGTTTTCCCCACCTCAGATATCAATATTCAAATTACTTTTTGACGCTCTACAATAAGACCTTGAGATATATATTAAATCGGCCAAAACTGTGGAGTGAAGGACAATCCATAGACATTTCTACCTATTCCTTTACACTGCTATGCCCTATTGATACCCCGTTCTTAAAAATGAATAATTTCAAGGTTCCCTGGACAGAAAAAAATCTGTTAAATATTTAAGTATATATAATAAATTAACATGAGAATTATATATTAAATAATCGGCAAACGAAGCATACAATACAATGTCAAAATTGCAATCAAACCTCAGTTTCCAATCATCATTAAAACACACTGCGGACTACTGATATACAAATCAATCCTAAAGCCAACTCTACCTTAACGCATTTCTAATTTGGAATAACCTCGGTCCTAATAATGTTATGCCTGTACAAAATGTCCAAAGTAAAATCTATAGAAAAATCATCAAAAAGCCCCGTGGTTCATTCCAAACTCACAAATCCCTAATGGCTGAGCATTGGTTCCTTACACTATTTCAAATAAACATTACCATCCCGGTTGTACTCCTCAATTATTAATCTAAATTTTCTATTAACCCTTACTCGAATTCGATCTCGTGCTCCATAATATTTATTTATATCGTCGTAATTTCATTTAAAGCAAACTAAACAAATTTTATTCACTTTTTAATACTTTATAAATCGCTAATTCATTTCTTTGTGCCTAACCTATTAAAAATACGAAATTAGAGAAAGTATCAAGTAGCCTCAGAATGATCAATTCCAAAAGTTAATTCATTTAACACTGTTAACTCCTTCGTAAGACAATATTGTCGAACAAATAGAAAATAAAATAAATTAAGGAACGAACGTATCAATGAGATCGAGTGATTCGGAAATTAAGCGTTTGGATAGGGTTGATTGTGCTCCGTCGCTAATATATTTAGTTTCCGTATCATTCAATTGCAAAGATCTACTCAACCAGAAGGGCCTTTAAATGGTAAAAGTTTTCTGGTCTCCATGATTCTGGAATATTCTCATCACGCATAGCCGAATACAACATTCCTTCGTCTACACATTCTTTCGTATTTCCTCTATAGTTTGTAGATAACCTCTCGACGCTGATCTTTGTATTAATATACAAAGTACTATACGTTAATTAATATACTTGTATTTTGATATATAAACTATATGTTCTGCTTAAATACAAAGAGATCTACTCTCAGACTAATTAACCCACCGGAATCGCAACGGCGATACAGGATAGTTGACCCCCGTCGTGTTTCGGGAGAGCAGTGTGCGAAATCCAAAGAGATCTACCCTCAGACTAATTAACTCAGCGGAATCGCAGCGGCGATACAGGATTGTTGACCCCCGTCGTGTTTCGGGAGAGGGGAGTGCGAAATCCAAAGAGATCTACCCTCAGACTAATTAACCCACCGGAATCGCAGCGGCGATACAAGATAGTTGACCCCCGTCGTGTTTCGGGAGAGCGGTGTGCGAAGGGCTTGCCGCGAGGAGTGGCCCGCTGCGCAGGTGTCGGCTGCCGTCGGACGGCGCCAACGCGACGTTCGCGTTGCCGGACGAGGTGCTGAACGCGTCGCTGCCGTGGGACGAGGCGGCCGGGCGCTGGTCCAGCTGCCTGAGACGCGACGACGCCGACCCCGCGGGCCGCGCCGCGGTGCCCTGCCGCAGCTGGGTGTATGACCCTCACCGCACCACCGCCGTCTCAGAGGTACGAGTACGCAAGCGAATGGGATTGCTCTCTTTATCTTCCCTACCCCTCTTCCCCGTTCTTTCGGTGTGTCAATGTTTGGAATTTGCGAGGCAACCCTCGCTTGTCTAATGAAACGATTCCTTTTCGGAACCATACTTACTTCGTCTCTCATGTGAGTTTGACCACATGTTGGGATGGTCTGAACAGTTGTGCATTGCCTCTACATGTTTCTAATCTTAAAACGTATGAAGTCATAGCTTTATGAATAACATTGCCTACCACATTCTCTTTACCAATTCGGAATCTAAGTCGCAATATCCCTAAATGGCATGCCCTATTTTGCAGTGGGACCTGGTTTGTGAGCACGACTGGCTTCGACCAACGGCTGATGCGTGCGTTATGACGGGAGTGCTGGTGGGTGCGCTTCTATTCGGCGCCCTTTCCGACAGGTGAGACGCTCCATCGACTGCGTTTGGCATTGAGTGTTAAAGAGTGTTTTTATGTTTCACGCTTGCCAGCTCCTTGACCAGTGGTTTAGTTTTCGTAAAAGCTAGGCTCAGATATGATTCTTTCGATTTATGCATCTCATTTTGGTTGCCAGTAAAGGTATATCTTCTCTTCAAAAAATTATTATAGAGTATGTATTTTTGAACTGCCGCTTAGATATGTTGCACCAAGTTCCTCGTACTGAATATTTATATAAATCAACGTTGAGAATATCAAACATTTCTTTAGACAGCATTATTTTCAACGTATTTCTTTTTAATATCAAAAAACGTTCGAAGGAATTTACAGAAGTAGTGAAAGAAGTTTTTAAAACCTCGTGTCATATTTTCCTTCATTTAGCAGAAAATAGAATCACCTCTAAGGAAGCGCTTCCTGAAATTTTAGAAGCGTAATTTAACTGTTTCCAAATTCCTCAGTAACATTGTAATTTTATTTAAATTCAAAACGTTGAAAAAATTCAGTACGCTTTGAGAACCCATTTCATTCTAAAAGAGCATTATTTTTATAAAAACCCAATCTCCTTATTAAAGACTTTTTTAAAAGTTATTGTCAAAGACTAACACTAAAATATAGAGATCATTCAACCCGATGAATTTCTGTTACAAAGAATCTCTTCACTTTTAAAACTATTTCATATTTCAGATTTGAAATCACGTTATGGTTCAATTTATGAAGCTGATTTGTTATCATAGACATCATATCATCGCACTTCGATCTGCGAAAATTTGTTAATGGTTCCAATTTCCTCGAGCTCTTTTTTAAGCACAAGTTCACATCGCGCCATTTGAAGGCATTTCGAATGCAATTCGATGGCTTTTTACGACAAATTTAGAGTTTTGTGCAATTAAGGAGTGACAGTTCCTGCTGTTTCGCATTCTGTGCTTGTTATTGTTATGTTTGAGATTGATTTTGTTGCGAGTATGCTGGAAGTGACTACATGTTGCAAAACGCTCTTTGCTTCGTCATTATTGTATCTTTTCGATGACGCATCATTTCCACGGCAAAAGTTTGTTGATATTGCAAGAATTTATCTCTAAAAAATTTAAAATGTTATCCTTTTCATTGTCCCGAAAAATGTTTAGATACCAGAATTTCATTTAATTGACGTTTTCCTAATCATCACAACATTGAACGCATATAAACAATTTGGTTTTGTCTGAATCCATGGCCAATTAATTTAATTTTTGAGGCAAATATTTTGCCCGTTTGAACGCCTTGACCTTTCCTTCTGTAATGAATTAATTACACTAGTTGGTTCAGATCATAAAACAATTTCTACTGCTGAAGTAGATTTCATAATATTTTCTCTGTATAATTCGCAGCACCACGCACAATTATACTTCAGCCACATGTCGTGCAGCCCTAAATTGTTTTGTGCTTTACGGGTCGTGAATTTAATTCATACGAATCATTATTAGATTACTGTGTTGTTACTTACGCTTTAATATGTATTACAGCTTGTTATTGGTTGAAAGTGTCTAAAAGACAAATTTGACCAAATTCTTCGGAATAAAAGTTCACTTTTCGTATTCATTAAAATAAAAATATGTATTGGTTACTTTTGAAATATTAGTGCCTCTCTAGGATGCATTTGGATTTTAGTCGTACTACTGAATAAGTAATTTTACATAACTTGTGAGATAGAATTACGAACAATAGTTTCCATTACCAATACCCACGTGAATCATAATGAATCAAGAGAAAGGAATCACAAAAGAAATCTGATTAAGGTCGTACATTTCTATGAAAGTATAAATTTTCGCTCAGGTGATGGAAATATTATGCGACAACCTTGAGTTAGAGAAAAATGCATACATGTGAAGAGGCTTGCTCACCTCTTAGTACTGTTTATCTTGCAAAACTCTCGCTTTTTTATTTACTTTGCACAACGCGTCGCGAATATTTATTGAGTTGTAAAGGTCGTATCGACTTTTTGTTGCTGTAATGTCGCTTTTTCCGTTGTGTTTTACTTGTATTCAAGACAAATTGCTTTAGTTGTGATAGTTAATTTCATCTCTGGCCATTGTGATAGTTTATGTACCTAATGCAGGTATTTTGAACAAACTTTCTTTGGTAATTACTCTAATTATATCAGATAAAATATAATTCCTATTGTTGATCAATATCATGTCAATAAATAGTTTATAGACCAGACAATCAGAGGTGAAGAAATTCGAGTTGATCCATTGATTTCACTTATAAATGTCATCATTATTTTAAAGGCTTTAAAATACTTTATACTGAGGAAAATAAAGTTATGTGACTATTTGACCAAACTTGTCAAGCAAATCACTTAGTTTTGTAATTCGACTTCCTTCTTGTAGGTATTAACGTTCAAATTTAAGTACTTGTTGTGATGCTACGACTGAATTACAAGACAATCCGAATTTTTCTTGGAAGTGTTCATCACAAAATATGAGAGTTGTGAGTGACAGTCATAACACAATGTTACCTGGCCATTTGAATAAGCTTGCGAGACGATGTTTTGATGTAAAGAAAACACAGACAGCTTCAGTGGAAAAGATGCGTCCACTGCATTCAAGACACATTTTACAATGAATTGATTATTCCACCTTCAAGGATAAAAATATTTAAGATTCTTTTGAAGAACGTACACATCCACGTTAGATGAGTTTTAGATAGGAACTGAATGTATACGAGTACAATGAAAGTTTTTACAAAAGCTAATCACTCCTTTAAAAGAGAGGAAAGTCAACCTATCGGTAAATAAGACATACAGAATACTGAAGGGAAATAATATCTAAGAAAGTAAATTATACAACATTTTGGTGAATGAAGTAACGATACTAAATGTGAGTCGTCATTATTAAGGAAAATAAAATATCGGTACGCGCTCTGGATCTGCAAACACAGGATATCCTGTTACACAGTGAAAGAAATGAAGTCTTCTAAATTAGTCATGCTAAGTGCTTTGCAATAGAGTTGAAAGTTCAGTTCCACATTGTCAGAACGAATTGTCACATCGCAAAGATAGCATAATCACTTTTATCTGTTGTTAGTAGGGAGAGGGAGCTGCCACAGCATTTAGAGAAACAGTGCAAAAAAATAATGTTATTGTTTTTTTATTAGTAAATCTCTAGTATCCCCCTAAGTAAAGTTTTTAATGCGTTTATATGAAAAGACATGATTTCAACACATCTTGTCTTTTGAGAAATTAGTAAGGTACTAATTGTAATTAGTAACTAATTTTCTCATACCGTAAGTATGTATTTTGGATATACTTTTTCCGTATTAGATTTTTATGATCCTCTTATGAATGCATATATTTCAGTATTTTCATTTAATTTTGGATTCCAATATAAACATGCAGGGGAATATTTGTTCAATGTATTTTGCGTCTACAAATTTTATGGTATTTTCCTATTATTTTATACTATGAAGTATCGACGAAAGGTTTAAATGTCTTTCATCGTTTCATATTGATTGTCCATACTGTATGAATTACTATAGTTCAGTTTCGTGGATAGATTAACGATTAAAGCGCCATCGTTAGCGGCGAGCGTTTAAGCGACGTCTGATGACCCAGCGTGTCGAGTATTGGGAGAGGGCGGGTTCCAACACAGACCGTCGATACAAATTTGCTGGATGTATTGAATTTTGAGTAAATTCTTCGTTGTAAATTGCAAGTATAGTTTGCTGGCGCTTGTCAGGATCAAGTTCGTAGGTCGTCTTCTCTGATCGGTTGTTTCTAGGATTTCCTTTATCACTTCCAGGCGAATACTAGAGCAGCGTCCCGCACGGATCGTGTGCTATCTTCTATTCCGTTCCCATTGTCCCAGCGCCACGCTATGAAGGAGTGCTTCCCATACCTTCCACTTCATAAACGGTGGAGTGTGAATGACTCCGGGGGCAGGCCTTCTCTCCTCGTAGGATTGAAGTATAACTGATTATAATTAACGGTTAGGTTCTGTAATGGCATAAAGATCCATCTCATAACCACATAGGTTCAAGAAATTTGTTTAACATTTGTCATACATTGCTTACCGAAGAAAACAATTTAACGAGAAATTGAATAGATAGAGGAAATAAATATTCAAATTTAATTTTCTGTTAAATTTCCTTAATTTGAAATATATCAAACATTAAACAAATTTTTGACTTGTAAAGATAATTTATTTTAATCCTCCATCGGAAAGTAGCGCTTTTCCAACAGAAAAAAAAACTCGTGTTGTGGATCCTTAAACCCAAAAAAGTGAATAATTTTTGCTTCTGTAAGTACTAAATTACTTCTTCTAACACGTTATGTACTCAGAAACTTTGTTTTGTGGGTCCTTGATACCTAAAAGTTATTTTCCGTCAACACGTCCGTCCATTCATCCGCCAGTGACCAAAATTAGCCCCTAAACAGTTTCCCAAGGTTTTCTTTAACATCTTTAATCCTATCGATTTGCCCAAACTCATGGATTCTTTATATTTGAAACGGATATTTAAATTTTGCAATGTTCTTCACGTGAGCTACAAGCTGAACGGCAGTTTCAAAATTTTTTAAAAAGCAAAAAGAAAATGCTCGGAGTTCTCTTGGTATCTTCCTTCAACTACAATATTGAAAATATATATTTTTGGAATGAAATCTGTTCTTCAAAAGAAGATCTTTAAATATGGCCATGCACATTTGTTTTGAAAATACGAGTCGTTTTGGCGTAATTTTGGATAAAAAGATGGCAATTTTTAAAACGCCTCCAAATTTTGCCTTTAAATTATTTTGTCGAAAAGTACGCTGATAAAAATAGCGCATGCCATATTTTTGTTGGGCTCCAATTTCTTTTTTAAATTAGAGAACTTAACATTTTTAACAAAATTAACATTTTCTACAACTACAACAACAAAAGACTTTTTTCCTTAATGAAATCTGTTCTTCAAAATTCGATCTTTAAATATTGTCATGTAAAACATTTTGAAAATGTGAGTAGCTTGCACCTAATATAGAGTGACAGTTACAAATAATGCGAGAAAATAGGTTTTGTTGCACCACTAGATTTAATATGTATTTAAACTTTTGTGTCTTATTTCGGATGAGTTTCAAGTATATACTGTAGTTGTTGAGGAAAGTGTGTACAGGTGGGATGCACATATCTCACTCTTGTTGTGAAACGGCTCTTTATTTCCGTCAAGGTCTTCGATTGACCCAGAATTTATATTAATTAAGATATTATTAACCTAAAAAGACACGGATTGTTAACTTTTATAGTATGTTTGCTGAAGTTCTGAGCTGTTAAGTTCTTGTCTCTGGTAAATATCTCAAACATTTCTTCCGCAACTCAAAATAGGCGGCCTTGCACTTACTGCCTTTGCGACCTAGCTTGTATTATACGAAACCTTTTTGTTTGGATACTACAAGTGCTGGGGCAGAGCCAAGTACAGTCTAGGTCAACTGCGTCACTTGAACGCAAGCAAAGAATTCGGTTTTAAAGTTTTCTTTGTGTTAAATAGGCGCTGAAACACTTACTTACCCTTTAATTAAAGTAATTTAATGAATAAGGTAATATTTTCTTATTTTAAAAACCCTCTAAAATTGCCAATATGTTACAACCCTCTGTAGCGTGTAAATAATACCAAATAATAATGATTTTACTATCTACCAAACATTTTCAAGACATATTTACTTTCTAAACTCCCAAGCGCGACCAAATTCCTGTTCTTTAAACGTAATTTTAGTTTTTCAGAAAAAACGTTCATGAGACGCGTAAAAAACGTGTACCTTTCACATTCGTAAACTTTGAAAGCATTTCCCCCAAATGTGTTTATTTTGTAGACAAATGCCATTTCCTGTAAAATATTTCTCTAATAAATCTATAAGCTATATTTTGTAAAAATCTGAATGTTATATTGCGTTTGTATTGTATTTAACTGTGAATAACTCGAGAAGGCTTCGAAAACAGTTAATAAATTAGAGAAGAGAAAATGTGTTTATGTCTCTTAAGTAACACCACTTCTTGCGGAACCATACTTGTTTAAAATACGGGCTTGCAAATTCAGTAAGTAAATCGAACTCCAAATTTCTGTAACGAAATTGGCGTTCGCACATTATTTTCTTTGTAAAATGTACTGTTTAATGAATCATAGTGTTAAAAAATTCCAAGCCATTTCATAAAAATAATATAACCATTACTAAGTTACTTTTGTAATGTGATTAATTGAGATTGTTACTTTAATTTTTTATCTTCCCGTTCTTTTAACTCGTCTATTGACATTTATATTGACATAAGATTAGCAATCCTAGACTTCATGTAAAGTCTTAAAAATTACTTGACACCTAATTTTTCTCCTGGTAGTATTACGATATATCAAGAGACACACGCTTATTTATTAAATATTTTATTTTACTTTATATTTTTATGATAACACTGGTCCACAAGAGTCGTGTCTTTAAGATCTGTTCTTTTCTGTTGCGATGTAAAGAAAAAATGTGACTAAGAGCTGAGGTACTAAAAGTCCAAGTTTATCAAACTAGTAGTTCTTAAACAGTATGTACTTTCTCGCTCGTATTTTGACGCAAAATTACGCGAAAAATACTCAAATTTTCGAAAAATTTTACATGACCTTATTTTAAAATCTATCTTTAAGAAACAGATTTCATTAAAGGAAATGATCTCTATCTTAAATATTTTAGTTCTAGAAAGACTCCGAAAAAATATTAAACTTTTGCAATTTTCGAAAAATCTAACTTTTTAACAAACATGCAACCTGCACAATTCTCTTAAACGTCTTTCACATTAAACAACAACAAAACTTAATTAAAATCGCTGGAGCCATTTTTTTGAAAATGTTGAAAATGTTCCAGGGGCTTAATGTAAAGAACCCCCAGAAATTAAAATATCGGATTCGAATTCAAGGAGCCGTGGCAGAAGCCAGATCATTTGGGGAATATCAATTTTGGAGAAAACGGGCAGAACGGTTAAGCCGCTTGTGTTGCTCAGAGACGGACGGACGGACGGACGGACGGACGGACGGACGTTTTGCCGTTATTCGATTTTTCGGTATCAAGGACCCATAAAACATAGATTCTGTCTACACTACATGCTAGAGGATTTTTCCCTTAAATTTAACAACTAGATTTATCCGCTTTTTTTATTCCCGGGCTCTGTAATAAAGATTTTTTCTGTCGAAATTCGCGGTGTTTTCGTGCAGCATTGCATAACGTTCTCTCTACTCCTTAGCAAGAAAGTAAAAAGTGACTCAGTCACATGATTTTGAAAAAAACAACGATTTCTTCTAACTAGTTACTCAAAAACTTTGTTTCTATCCATTATTCTTATCCTCAATCTCACAGGCAATTTTGCCAGCTTTCATTTGGAACAACCCAATTATAATTTCATAAGCGTAATGTCGAAAACGTTGAAGAACATTCAAGGGAATGATTTCTGTGTTCACGTACATTTAAGTTTTATTTCGGTTAACTAAATTTTAAATAATAGTTCAGAGAATGTAGCAAGTTGTGTATTACGCACTCACGTATCTACAACGAGAATGGATCATTATTGCTTGAAATCAAACGAAACTCCCCTCAAAAACAAAGCGTTCACTGAGAGTCTCTTTACTCTCTTGCAAAATGTCTCCGAGGTCACCGCGGCTCTTGCAAATCCGCCCCTCGAGGCCTCCGGGGCGGTTATTTACGTGCGTGGAGATCGACCTCTGCAGCGCTGTGCGGACGTCCCTGGCACAACATCGCTACCGGCATGACGACACGCCGCGCCATTGCCAGTAACAGCCAGTGCACGCTCTGCCACACACACACTTCTGACATCTTAAAAACGATACGTGCGTGGTTGTATGGAATGGAGTATTCATATTGTTTTTCTTTCGGATCGTTTCTTGTGTACTAAAAATTCAAAATTATCCTTAGCATTTTTTGGTAATCGAAAGAATGTTTCGTAATATTCTGTAGACATTAAACTTATTGTTAACCATACATATTACCGATAGTGGGTTTGTATGTCCTATGTTATAAATAAATTAGTTTATTGTACCAGCGTTTCTCAATGTCTTTCACTCCAAAGGACTCTGAAAAACTCTCCGGATCATATTTATGCTAAATTATTTTTTAACACAACTAATTGCAAGACAAAGAAATCCCTGGTTTTCAATATATAATATTAATAACTGGAAGTGAAAGACCTAATGCAAGCACCAAACAATTATCTGAAGTTGAAAATTTACTCAGCAACACTTTATTACCTTCAATTGTGTAATAAAAAAAGCAATTTCGAAATGGCGCACAAAATGCTAAGGAGCTCCTGAAACATACTGAGACGTCCCGTCACGGGCCCGTCACGGCCCCGTCACGGCCCTCACGTCCCGTCACGTCACGTCCCGTCACGTTCCGTCACGTCCGTCGTCCGTCCCGTCCGTCCCGTCGTCCGTCCGTCCGTCCCGTCGTCCGTCCGTCCGTCCCGTCCGTCCCGTCACGTCTCGTCCGTCCCGTCCCGTCACGTCGCCGTCAGCGTCCCGTCACGTCCCGTCACGTCCCGTTCACGTCCGTCACGTCCCGTCACGTCCCGTCACGTCCCCGTCACGTCCCGTCACGTCCCGTCCGTCCGTCACGTCCGTCACGTCCGTCACGTCCGCGTCCACGTCCCGTCACGGTCCGTCACGTCCGTCACGTCCGTCACCGTCACGTCACGTCACGTCACGTCACGTCACGTCACGTCACGACCCGTCACGTCCACGAACCGCAGGTTGAGAAGCACATCTGCACAGATAGTCTACAGAGAGCCACGTGCGCAGGTTCGGGCGGCGGCCGGTGTTCTTCGGGTCGCTGGTGCTGCAAGTGGCCGTGGGGCTGCTGGCGGCGCTGGCGCCTTACTACGTGCTCTTCCTCGTGCTGCGCTTCGTCATCGGCATGACCACCTCCGGCGTCTTCCTCGTGGCCTACGTGCTAGGTGAGGGCCGCGCACACATTCTTCATTACTCTTTTCCTTTCCTTTTTTCCCCTCTCTCAAATGAATTATCAAACCAAATGGGTAACCAAATGGTATTGGCCTCTTAGTGATCCACTTTCGACATTTCTCCTCCTACCATAAACCTGTGGCATATGCGCCAAATGTTGTTGCTTGTGAATGCGTAAATAAAATGGACATTGTTGTTTTTTATCGTATCTGGCAGTGGCGTTGTGGTAATTATTTTATAACAAGGTCCCCTTCGATTTCGTATGTCTCATACTTATGACTTACGATATCGTCTGACTTGTCATGGGTAATAAATTCCACTAATAATATCCACTTTTCAAGAAATGTATTACTCCATTTCCAGAGCACCATTTTGTCAAGGGTGGGGTGTCTTCTAATTTATATCTCATGAGTCAAAAACGAAATATAAGTTTAATAATTTTGAGGGACTTGGAACAGAGAATATATTTTTGAGACACAGGAACTTGCGTCTCAAAAAGCACCTCCAAGTTGTTTTTGTCTATAACTATTAGAACTGAATACTAAATAATTGTATATGTTTTTATGAATACTTGGGTTCAGAGTAAGTCAGTTAATAATTTTCCTTCTAATAACAGGGTTGAAAATATTTTTCTAAACTTAAAAATGTTAAATTAACAAAAATATTTCACATTACAAACAAAACATTCTTTGTATAACATAAATCTGTTTGAAAATATCCTCTTTGCAAATCTGATAATGCATTCTCATAGTTTGTAATCTTCTTTTAATATAAAATCCCATGCGTTACGTTTTCAGATTTTATTACAAAAATGACAAAAGAGTGCTATTTTATTTATCGCGAAAATTGTTCTTTCGTAAATACATAATTTTCTTACGCCATTGTAAACGAATTATGAATCAAAATCAATTGCGGGATTCCCTTCTGTCGTTTTTATACACAACATTCAGCGGTATATTAACGCACAAACAGATGATAAGCACCTCTGACCCCAGATGACCCCGGACCCACCATTGACGCAGATGTTTTCTTTTAAGTTCCTTTCCCTCCCACAGATTTAAATTAAATAGTAACACGCTGTTTCATATCCATTTTAGATCGGTCTATTATCAAAAGTCTATTTCACTTTAAAATTGTAATAAGAGTCGATGTAAAGTATTATTCGCCGAAATGTTTGCTATTAAAATGATAAAAACATAATTTTTAATCATCTCTGAAATACCATGTATGACATGCAAATACAATTTTTTTTAAAAATAATTTTGGTACATAAATTGATATAACGCTAACTTTACCTTTAATTCAAGGAAAAATATTTTTTCAAATCATTTTGTTGTTGTTTTCGATCACGTTTTGTATACTCATTCTGATGTAAATTAAATTTACTTTCGAAAAACTTCGATTGTTACACGGGATGTTGGATCCTAAGCTATATTTTGTAAAAGATACGTTTAAGATACAAATAACAAATGAAAATAAGATAACCATAAATACAAAACTTTTAAAGTAATTCAACCCACTTTATATTTAAAAATAGTCACATTAGAGCTGGGGCTTATTTCTCTCCCTTTCTGCGTGTACTCCTCAGTATAAATTAAAAACACGTACCGAATGTCAGAATAAAATAAATGAATAAATATTGTACTTCACAGAATATATTTTATAGTAATGAAAGTGAATTAAATTTTAAGAGAATACTTATTAATGAAAAATGTTCTCTAAAATTTAGTTCACAAATTTTAATAAAAAATTGATGGCGGTTCTAATCGTAATATAAACATTAGTGTGCGTAACGTTAGTGTGCGTAACGTTAGTGTGCGTAACGTTAGTGTGCGTAACATTAAATTATAGACAAAATTTTCAACCATAAGTCTTTCGTATCCACTAATATGATTAACATTAGGGTACTCTTCGTATCTCCTATGATCATCCATTTTAGACCTGAAAAGTTAATCGAAATACAAAAAACTCAGCACACACTCAGTGTAAGGTACCAGTAACTTGAATTGACTAGCTATTGCGACCGTTTTCATTTCTTAAGATATAAACACATTTATATCTTGCGGCGGGTGATGGTGTCTTTCTGTATTAATAGATCACAGTCGCTCGGGGTGAATACCTGGCTGCCGCGTAGTGCGCAGATATGTAAAGCACATAATCTTATTTAATTCAAATTGTGTTTTCAATCTCAGACTTTATTTTAAAATTATTTCAAACTTATTATTGTAACATTGTATGCATTTAACCTCTAATGTCTATTTATAAGTTGCTTTAAATAACGTTTGCTTTCCACTAACTACTTACCACTGTAGATTATATTACATTTAATTTTTTTAGATAACATTACTTTTTAATACTTTTACTATTACTACATAACTTTTACTACATTTCTCTGTATATTTATGACGTGGTTAGGCAGAAGAGCGGGCCTGATGGCCCGAGCCTCGCCATATTAATAAAGGCATATTATTATTATATTATTATATTATATCGCCATATCTTCATATGAGGCAATAGGAACTTGAGGTATACTATTAGCTCGAGATGTCCATTTTTGAGAATCGTGAAACAATTCATATCGGCAAAGGTGGCTCAGGAATCAACTGATGATGGTCACTACAGGGAAGACCTAGGGTTGGAATCCCGACGGTCGCAGGATTTTCAACACTAGGTACACAACTAAATCGAATTCAGACGCTGCCTGGAGGAGAATTCTAGCGGTCTGCTGCTCTGATCGGTAGTTTTGCGCGGTTTCTCGGATCAACACCATGCGAATGCTGGAGCAGTACCCCAATAAACAGCCACGGACGCGCAATCAGTCTGTCCTTCCTCTTCCTTGCTATATCCTCACTTCTTACGTGCACTAAGCTACCACACGTGCCGGGAGACCGATCGGGAGCTTAGCGCTTTTCCCGTTAGGGCGTGGCGTCGCTTTTGGGAGATACCTGGTTAGGGGAAACCCCCGCAATTCAGGTCTCGGCATTAGCCGGGGAAGATCACTGCCACCTGAGACAAAAAACATGCACTACACTTTCGTGACTAATGGCCTTAGTAGTTGACGCGTTCGGAATCACCAATAAATCAATCGTAAGCAATAGTGGTGTATCAGCCTTTTGGCTCGTCATGCATCAATGCTCAGTGTCTATTGAAGCGTCCCGTGTGCACTGCCGCAGCGATGGAGATGGTGGGGCCCAGCAAGCGCCTGGTGGCCGGCGTCAGCTGCCAGCTCTTCTTCACTGCCGGCTATATGCTTAGCGCCGTCTTCGCCAAGTACATCACCGACTGGCGACTGCTGCAGGCCGCCATGACGGCGCCCGGTCTTCTTTTCCTTCTGTACTGGTGGTGAGTGCTTTTCCATATGCGCTATTTAAGATCGATAGTAATGGTTATTTTCATTTTTAACGTCCCTGGCCTGATCTAAACATTTCTCACAGTGTAATTAATTTTGTATTATAATACTGCCATATTTATACTACTAATACTTCAACCATCTCTTGAAACACTTCAATAAACTAAGAAGCGAGATATTCGAAACAATACAAAATGATACTTGTTCCATAGAATTCATTGTATTGCGCTCTAACCTTGCAAAACGGTTGGAAGAAACTGAGCCGTTTTTTGTTTAGATATTTTCGGGAAGTTAACACAATTTGGCTGAGAATTACGCAAAAATCATATATACGCTGCACATTAAATTATTTAAAGTGATTGTAGTTGATTAGAGTAATATAGTGTAATAAGAGAGAAATTTCAGGGCGTGGGGTACATCCAGGACAATCGGGAAATGTCAGTTTCGAGGAAAACCCTGTGTACACTTCTGGCGCTAGTATTGTTTACAGACAGGTCCGCAGACGGGCTAGTAGGCGTATTTAAACTACAGTACCTGCAGCGTATAATCGACTCTGACAGTTCAGTGTGCTGTTGCTACATATTACTATGCACATGGCACCGCGTACATTACAGATAAATGAAATCTCAAAACATTAACACTTACTATAACATTTACATGACATTTACTACTTTGCTATGACATGTGATATCACGTTTATAACTTCCACCACAGCCGAACATTATCACTTTCGCTTCTTCGTATGAATCAGATGAGCGGCAACGCTGAACGCTGACTGTGAGAAAGTAAACAAATCCTCGCAAGCTGATTGCTTCAGATCAGGTCACATGACGTACCACAGCACGTGGCGACAGAACGGTTAGATTCGCTTATACGCTGCCGGTACTGTAGTGATACTACGACATTACATGCTACTATACACTTTCTCGCGTTATTTCTAAATTTGCGATTTTCGAAAATCAAAGATTTCAACGATAATTAGACCTTCAGTATTATTTTTAGCTTTTCTTGTTCTACCCATGGAAACAATCTGAAGAAAACATCTGGAACGAGTTTTGTGGAAATTAAAAAAAGAAATTGCATTAACTTGAAACATGATCTGCGCGAAAACTGTTAATTTTTTCAAACAAATTAAAATTCTTTTTTAATGAGCTAATTTTTTTAAACAAATTTTGTTTAAGACGAAAATATCATTCTTCAAATTTGTAGTTTTATAATACTACCTTTTTGAAATTTTCGAAAATACAGAGTTCGCTGAAAATGGGACCAGCCCCAATTTCTTGGCCTTTCTTTGCTACATATGAGAAAAAATAGTTTAAAAATTTGAAGCTTTTTTTTTTTTGAGAAAAAAATTCTTTAAAATTATTTTAAAATTATGCGTTTCATACAAAACTACTCATATTTTGAAACAATTGAACGTGACCATATTTCAAGATCTGTTTTGATTAACATATTTCATTAAAAAATAAATTTCTATCTGCATTATTGCAGTTCAAAACGCCGAAGTTTTTTTTTCGATTTCAATAAATATGAGATCTGAGCAGGACCGATTTTTTAGGGAGCCAAAATATAATCTTACTCTACAACTCAACAATATTGTGAAATATCTCATGAAATATTTACTTGAAAAATTAAGCAATTTCTTAAGTGTATTTTTTTTCTTGACTCAAATGTTGTAGTGGTGGAGTTGGCTCAGAGGCAGCATTACGGTTGCCTCTGCAGAGTCTGATCAGAAAGTCGTAGGGTTGGAAATTTATTGCTAATTTAAAATTTATCAATAGGCGAGAACATTCCTCTTTTCAATACGTCGCCATCGTTTTCTGAACTTGATGTTCACTTTTTCTGAAAAAGTTTCGTTATGTTTGATTGTTAAGAATGTTTTTTCTTTTGCACGTACACTTTTCAATCGATCTATATAAATTAGATTGCTTCTTAAATTAAAGGTCTCGACTCCAGATGGTGAAACGCCACTTTTTTGTGAAAAGGAAGATAATCGTTCTAATATACTCGCCATGAATATGATTACAGTTTGTGAAAGAATTGTGATGCTGGATGACAAATGATATCGTACATTGCAGGGCACACAACGAAAATAAATGCACTTCACTCTGTGGTGAAGAAAGAATTAATACGAATATTTTACCTTCCTATTTCGCAGAATGATCTGGAAATGGCATAAAGTTATCTAAACCCTCAATATCAACAGCCCTTTCAAAAAATTCCTTCGATCAAGTGCTTTGTAATTCATAAAATTCCGATTCTCTTTCAATCTGTCATTGTGCAGCTGCCTTGAGAGCAAGTTTTTCTATGTTACTACTGTTGTGTCCCACATTCACTAGACCTTGGCAACTCACGTCCGTGACCAAACCCTAGCCTTCTTACAATGTTTTAGAAGTTTATGTCAAAAAACACATCGGCGTCTCGAAAACTGTGCCACCTGACCAAGTGGAGACAGTGTATTGAGTTCAGTAGTATCACTGTGCGAGGTTAGGAGAGAATAAACGCCTATGAACGCATCATTCTCAAGGTCGTCGTAGGTTTTAAAACTCCGTTAAGAGCATATCCTGCGTTTTGGTTACGACATAGTTTTATAATATATTTTCTGTAAATTTAATATCTGTTGCAATTTTTAATTTGGTTTTTGAATATATTCATGTGGCAGATTTTTATACATTAGTGGCGTGTAGAACTGTTGCACAACTATTGAGTGGCACATTCAATATGCTAATAAATATATTTGTACATTATTTCTGATTGCCCAACAACCCACTTCGGCTCTTGCCCAACTTCCGAATATTCGCAATACTGCTGTGTCATTCTACTTTATTCGAGCACGGCCAATCGCAACGAAAAATCGCCCCAATTCCGGCTTCTAAGGTTTGGGATGGAAACAAATTTGGGAAGGAGGGGTCGCGTGCGATTCTGTCGAAATACGAGTAGAATTGATATTAAACTTACATATCGCATCTCTAATAGAAAACTGACACAAGTGCGAAATCGTCAGTTTTCAGCTAAAAGCTGATAAGAGGTTACCAAGAGGTGCTGCTACTATTCTAAAGTTGATTTTGAATTAATTCAATTATTGTCCGCTAGAAGGTGAATATTTGGTACAATCTATAACGAGTATTGCAGAACTATGAAACTTAAAATTGTAATTTCTGAGAAATCAGAAATTCGCACTTGTATACCTTTACTATTGGAGGTGCGATATTGTATGATGACATAGAAGATAATACACTAATTAATAACAGTTTACATCAATTATGTAACTGATAGAGCTGTACACATTAATTATATCCCATGAAATATGAAGGATACATTAGATCGTGACATAATATTGATTTTTTTATTTTTCCAATATCTTGATGTGATGAGGAATAATGGCAAATACGTTTCAAGAAATAAAAGGCATGTAAGTAGAAACTCTTTTTATATTATATTTACTTGACAATTCTAATTATCAAATAATTTAAAACAATTAAATATCACAGTTTGAAATAGTACCTACTCTCCCCTCTCCTATACTACATCGTTTGAAAATTCACAACAGGGGCATGCTACACGAGCTGAGAATGAGCACTCAAGACATGCTGTCATAATATTGGTAGAATAGTGTTTAACTTTGAAAGATACGATCGTTAGAAAGGTGCAATGAAGAACTTTCACTTGATTACGTAGCTGTTCTGTGTAAGCGGCATTCTGATCACGTCATTTGCACGTGCAAACGTTGGTCACGTGCATTTGATTTTTAAAAAACGTTCAGCCTTGCAACAATTTTTCATGTTCTACAGTATCACCAAACCAACATAACATTTTATTTCCCTGTATAATGTATACGTGTATTAAATAATGTATGGCTAAAGGATGCTATTCTTTGGTAGAATTTCTACGTTTCTAATAAAAATACCATGTATATTTATCTACCAATAAAAATTAATGTAAAACATCATTCAAAATAAACATATTTGTTTTTATTATTATTATTATTATTATTATTATTAAGACACACAGAAAACGTAAAATAACATTCTATTAATTTATAAAACATGTATTTCTTTTATTTATCGCTAAATTTGGCCTCTGTGGCATTTTTATTATTTAACCATATGAAATACCCGATTGCGACCCCAAAGTAGTTAGCTAAAATTGCCCGGGTATTTATTCATCACAATAGTCCATTTGAAGGGAAAATAAATGAATCTCCTCCCTCTGTAGGGTAGATTCGCCCTGGTCTAAAGGTTAGGGTAGACCCGCCCTGAATCCCATTCCCCAAATCCACTCTGCCCCATCCCTCCGCCCTTATGCTGCTGTGTTCGCATGGCCCCGCTCCTACCCACGCTGCCCTGCGATCTCCGTTGCTACCAAATTCATTGCTGAGGGCAGCTGTAAACAGACGCATTGTTGCTTTTTCCTGGCGAACTTCCAGTGACAACTTCCATCCCCATAAAGAGAAAAATTTGTACATTTGAGAACAGTACAAATAGAATAGTCCAGTTAACAAGTGTATTGAAAGTTTGGCTCCATGCCTTTCTATTTTAAAATAAACGTGTTCTCGCCACACGAACGGGCAACATTAAAAAACGCCGTTACTAGTGTATTATTTAAATTAAAGTTAATTTGTAAACCATATGCATCCATTCGACCCAGAGCGTTTGCCCCTGAGGTTTTCAATGTCTGCACCAGATGACATGTTAAGTTGCACTCTTGGCGCCCCCTCAAATAAATTTAGCGTGCGCGCCTGAAATCTGCTGACCAGACACACACCTGCGTGACTCCCTCTCTGTGGTGGCTAGTCAGCTGTTCATCACAGTATAAATGAAATTAGTAATATGATTAATAATAATTTCATTATATATTTTATTATGTTTGTTGTTTGTTATTTTGGGTATCCCCGATGATAAAATCAACCCACAAACTCCAGAAAATAAGCACGCCTTTATATAGCCATTTGCGTTCTTTCATAAAGCGTCAAATTTGTTGTATGTCATTTTTA